AATGTGGCTCCAAACGAATACATCGGCTCAATCATCTCTTAGTGGTCTTTATTGTTTTGAAGGGCTTGTGCCAACTAGTTTACAACCTTAAAATTGGAGATAAATATACGAGACTGTTGGCTATTAATTAAAGAGCCCAAACACTTAAGTGGTACAACTTTCTCTTTCAGTTTCTATGATTCAATTTGCATTTTGTAAAATTCGAAAACTTCAAGGTAGGATTTTGTGTTTCAAGGCGCTTGGCGTAACATGGGAAAGAGATACGCGACATAACAAATTTCAACTGCCTACTAAAATAGTTCATGCTCTCAGATCTGAGTGGTGATAAAAAATGACTAAAACGCTACTAATTTTGACATATCAACTCCACTGGAGATAACAAACCCAAATAACTAGTTTCAACTAAAAATTTAAAATTCCTCAAATAAGAGGAAAGTCCATTTTTAATCACCTGGTAACAATAACTGACCATAAAACGTTAGTGAGGGGAAAATGTCTCTTTCTTCTCTGACAGGAAGTCCATTAACAGATTTATTTTGCAGTGTTTTTCTTTCCAAGAAGTTTCCTGAGCCTTTCATATCGCCCTGATACTGGTTGAAGATTGCCATAGATTGGGTCTAGCCACATGACTCTGTCCTCAAAACTCATTTTCTGCAACACAGTGCTGTTGGTGTAGAATCTTGAAAGAGCATCCAAAGGCAGCAGTACAGACGGTCTAGGGGGAGGAGACAGCTTAGGCTGTGTTTCTGACACAGAATCTAAAGGTTCTCCCAGCCACCAGCCAGGTATCACCTTAGGATAATCATCAACAACTTCCTCCTCATTCCTCTTGTCCTCAACCTCATCCTCATCAACAAGCTCCCCCTCCCCTTCCTCATCAGAGACAACTTCTCCTTCTTCCACACTCCTCCTGACCTTCTTTCTTATCTTCTTAGGTTCACTATTGATAGAATCACTGCTTGCTTCTCCGTGTAGTTCCTTCAAGGCAAAATGAGTGGGTTTGCTTTCAGAGTATTTCCTGTAATGCTGGAGAAGTTCTTGTTCCTGTGATCCATACTGAACACCAGGGTGGGAGGGAGAATAGCCACCACTGTTATCCACACCAACATCTCCTTGTGTGTCATACTTTGTTCTCTTGGTGGCAGCAGGATTATGTGGTGGGACTGTTGAGCCCAGCTCTATTGAAGGATTAGCACCACCTAACACAAACAGCAAACAGTTTTTGAACAAAATAAACTTTTAAATGACCTTACAAAAATAATTTACAAAATAATTTGATGAAGTCAATTTAATATTGATAAATATTAAGTATTACATTAACTCAGTCCAAGACATGCAATAATTTTTGTTTTCATATGTCAGAACTGAATGACTGAAAAATCAGATCTTCCTCATCACATTGTAAACATAGTAACAAAACCATTAAAGTTGCTGAAAACGCTTTGATGGTGTCAAAAATTACACCAGTAGAAAACTGAAAGAAGATAAAAATTCTTAAATTTTTGTTTAACACATACCTAAAATTTATTCAAGAGTTTATCTTCTATTTTCCTTCAAATTACCAGACTTACATTCCAGCCATGAAATTGGTTTAGTGATGCTTATCCTCAGGGAAGTTCCTTCTCATTCATACAAATTATTTTATAATTTCACCAATTTTCACCAACAACTAACTGTAAACAATCCTACTCATGAGCCAATTGGCAAACACTGCAGAAGACTTATCTTGATTTAGTAGCATAAGGTGACTATGTGGCATGCTCAAAAGGAGAATTTCATAACATACACAGCACACTTGTACAGGAAACTAACATTCTCTCCTTCTAATTATTATACTATGAACATATTAAAAATCACTTAGTATAATCTAACCATCTTCATCAACATCCATGTCCTGTTCTTCCTGATCCAGTTTCTCTCTCTTTCGTTTCCTGTCACTGCCTGAAGCAGCAGAGTTTGATGACATTCCTCTCATGTGGACATACTTTGCCACTAAATTATCAATCTGCTGATGAGGGAGCATTGGAAGAGTTCTTAGCTCAGCACTCTTGTCTCTAACACCTGAAAATTACAATCAATCCTTTAACTCCCAAAAGTGATTAACTTATATTTTCTCCTGATAATATTGAATGGAGAGATATGATCCAGCAATCAGGTAAAGAGCAAATTTGAAACTTTTTTGGCAGAAGTTTATCTTGATCTAATACCCAATTCTTGTGACTATTTTACAAAGCAGTAGCAACTGAGGGGGAGGGGGGGAGGCCTAAAAATCAGATCTTGGGAATAAAAGGATTAAAGCTTTGAATTCAAATGTGAGCAATAATCAATGATCCATCATTTCATGATTGGTTTTTTTCCCTTCCCAGGTAGACACAGGGTTGATGTTAGGCTTGTAAAAGGTGAGATCTAATTGTATTAAATGTAACATTGTGTATCTGTCAAGAAATGCAGTACTTGAAAATAATAGAATTGGAAAAGTAACTTGTTGATTGCATTTTCCAAATAAAGTCACATATCCATTTAGGCAGGAAAGACCTTTTGTTTCATAAAATTTGCAGAACAAGGTGTAATGTAACCTTGTGCATTTGCCAAGAAATACAGTACTTCAAGATAATGGAATTGGAAAAGGAACACGATTGTATTTTCCAAATAAAGTCACATATCCATTTAGGCAGGAAAGACCATTTTTTTCATAAAAATTGCAGAACAAGGACAGCTTTTTGTACATGTATCATTTCCCTAAAATGTAAGTTGACTTTATAGGTAAATATCAAGGAAAATGTTAACCAAAATTCATGTCCATGGTATTGAAGCTTATTATAACAATTCAATGCAAGCATAAATTTTGGTAGAAATGTGTGGCTACAAAATTCCTCTTTGTTTTTCTGTTTGGGAAATTAATAGTGACTAACAATGAACAGAACCATGGATACCTGAATAACCCTGTATGGAGAACTCGAGCCACAAAATTTTTCAATTATTTTTCTTATGTCCTGCTTCTTTTTTCCTTTATTTTTTTTTTGGCAAGTAATCATGGGAAATTTATATATTTGTGTCCGTGGCTACAGCCTTACCTCACAATTCTTTTATAGGCAACTGACAAAAGCCAGGAATAATGAAACTGACACTACCCACAAGGCTTTGATGAACCTGAGGAGCACTTTTTTCACATTTTCTGTATGACATAAATTTATTCAGGTACAAACTCACCTTCTGGTAGCGGTGTATTGAAACCTGGGTATTCAATAAAAGAACTTCTAAAGTGTTCCTCACTCTTTTGTTCATCTTGCTCCTCAATATAATCATTTATACTGCCATCACCATCATAAATAAGCAAGCTTGGTTTTGTGGCCTTGGGTAAATACCCTGGTGGATAACCCAATTGTCTCATTTGATAGATGTATGGTGGCAAATCTTGCTCATTAATTCCAAGTGCTTCCCTGAGTTCGTCAGAAATCACCCCTGGTTTGAATCTTCCAAAGCGTTTCATTGCTGAATCATCAAAGTGGTATCTAGTTTTAGAGTTCACTGGTGAAGCAAACTTATTGAGAAATTCTCGCCTGTTGGCATTGATTCTTTGCATGTCATGTGTCTCAGTGCAATCTTGGAGAGAGTGTCCAGGATTTCCACAATTGAAACAACAACTCCGACTTTTTAGCCTCACTTTTGGTGTTTCATCTGGAGCCAAAACTCGAAAATAAACTTGTTCGTATTGAGGAATGGTCCAGCCATCACTAATTTGAGGATTTAAATCGACTAAAGGCAGCCCACAGCAGTCTATGCAATATTCATCGTAGTACTGCAAAGAACTGATGATGGAAAAAGGTTGGCTACAACCATTGTCCCTGGCTAACTTGCTCACTTCACAATTTGTGTCACAGATAGACGGTGGAAAATTTTGGCTTCCAAACGACTCCCTCTCATTAATGTCGTCGGTTCGTCGTTGTAAAGTTTGAATGAATTCTTCAACCTTTTCTCTGGATCTGATCGAAGTCTTGTTATCGAAAAAAATCCCCTGAAATAAAGGAGAATGACGATCTTGTTGTCTGCCTGTAGTACTACATTTCAACTTCCACACACCGATCAGAGATTTCAAAGCATTCTTCAATCGTATGTTTTCTTGCTGTAAGGAGTTCCTAGGAATTTTACCAGGGCAATCATGCCTCTCTTCCGATGGTCTCGTTGTTTCCTTTTCTGCCTCAAATTCTGTAAAAAGAAGCTCTTCGTCGAAGCACGCATCTTCCGAAACTTCCGCCGCCATTTTGGAGAAACACTAGTTACCAGTCTGCTGACCGAGTAAACAGATAGCAATGATGATATATTCATTAAATTTTGCGACAGCGGTAACAGCCATCTTGCCGCAATGTTATCTATCCATGAAAGCATTTGAAAGACTGAAATTCAATTGTGCCATATGGGCTCCTCATTTTCAGAGGTTTAGAAATGAATTAATCGCCAGAGTACATGTAGAGGGCACAACAGACCCTTGTGGCTCTCACTGCTCTTTGTTCCCCAGAATAATCACCCTTGTATTTCTTTTCATCAATTGATGATTCCTACTAGTGAGAAAGTGGAGGGTGATAAACAAAGATTGTGAAAATTATTTTGGACTTTGAATCAGTTCTCCCAGCTAGTGACCCATGGAAGGCAATACTGATTGAATAAAACATGACTCTCAACACATGAGCTAGGAGTCACCCTCACAAGAGGAATGGTGTCTCTTGATTTTTTTTCTCTTTCCATGCATATTTTTTCATGTTCTCAGAGATTAGAACCTGCTTCACCAATACTAACTGATGACACACTGCATGAACACTGAGTGGGAAAGTTTCATGTTATCAACAGGGACAGAAAGTAGTTTAGAAAAGAAATATTTGTTTATTTCAGTCAAAGCAATAGTAAGTGCACTTACACAGATGCATACATGTATCCCATGCAGTCCTAACTGACATCAAACACTATTCTTAATCTGATCCCATACCTCAGCATATCATTAAAATGACTGTAGAACTTGTTAGTTATCAGTGAAACAAAAGATAGGAAAAATGGCAATGTGAGTAAAAAATTACAGATCACATTTTAAAGAACAGAGTTTTTCTGAGAAGTTCATATTTTATTCTTCTACAAACAAAGTCTTAAAAATTGGATTGGAAAAATGATCACCACAACAGATTTGATTCAATAAATCAAACAAATTGGTTCAAGTTTTCTGATTTTTAGTAATTCAAACATTAATTCAAATTTGAAAAGAAATGTGAAGAAAAATTTATTCTTAAATGTAACATCAATTCACAGGAAAAAATCATGACAATAATTTAAATCCAAAAAGAAAGAAATGTAAAGAAATATTTACTGCTAAATGTTAACTCAGTTCACAGGAAAAAAATATAAACAAACAAACAATATTGTTTCTCAGTTCACAGAATATTTAATATTTGATGTAAAAAGTTCTTGCAGTTACTGATAAAAAGTAATGAGCAGGGAGCAGTTTCCAAAGGCATCATTCAGTATCCCCCCCATATGTCATGTGACCCCTAAATAAGGATCATCTTCACCCTGAGACCAAGTATCACCATCATCATCACCAAGGTTACCATCCAAAGCATCAACTCCATCACTCCCTCCATCGATTGAGAGGGGACAAGCCTTGGGAACAGCACCTGTTGATAGAAAACACAACTACTTATTAAAGGGTAATTTAGTATTATCAACTAAGTTGATTATGTAAAATTACTGCCGTAAGGGTTTTCAAAGCTCACATTTTGAGTGTTAGCCCTTTATCAGAGCAAATAATTCCTGTGATTCACTCTGATTAAGGGCTAACGCCCTAAACAGCTTTGAAATCCCTTACAGTGGTCAGTCTTAGTTATCAACTTAGTTGATAATACTAAATTACCCTATTGTACTCTCCCACTGATGCAGCACCACAGTTACCTATTAAATAAGTTTACCTATTAAAGTTTCTTCATTTTATTACTTACTTTTTAGGTTACAAGTTATTCAAGAAATAACATAGTGTGGACATGCAGATTGCTGAATTACAGATATAACTGTAAAAGGGATGAAGTGCACTCAAGAGTTCATTACTGACATTGTCAGCTGGCAGCTCACAGCATGAACCTGGTGTTGACATAATTCTCCCAGAAGGCATTATATGGTGAGAAGAACAAAACTTAAATTCAATTTTGGCAAAATACCTCTACTTAAGACATATTAATTCACATTCAAGCAATGTTGTGATGAAATTATTGGTGAAAATTTCAAGTTTATTCACATGTTTAAGTGTCCATGGGTGCCTACCTCTTTATAGAAAGCTTTTATCACTTACTTATGTATTAACCCAAGGAATACAACAGTACTGTGGCTAGCATTCCAAAGTTCCTTTTGGATGTGACAGCTAAAAGCTGGCTTTGAAGACATCACAGAACAGTACACAAAACAAGGAATTATGCTGTACTTACAGACAAAGGACACTGGTGCAAATCTTTTGTTAAAACTAATCCTGGATGACATTCCTGAACCTCTTATCCTTTAGAGAAATCAATTCAAATTAATGCAATTAATGCACTTCAAGCAGTGATATCAGATCACTGGGACCAACAATTGCTTTGGGTTAGGGTTCCGTAAGTCATGTAATCCTTCAAAATCTCTGAGGTTTAAAGATATTTCAAGCCAACAAATTATGTTGATTTAAAGATTTTATAATCATCTCAATTGTTCAGGTCTTCTTGAATTACATTTTAATCCCAACTGTACTTACAATCCACTGTCAGTGCTGAGGAATGACTTCAGGAGTGGTGATGACACACTGGAACTTGATTCTGATATAAATAAATAAATAAATGAAACAAAAAAAATACCGACAACTTATTCTACTAGATTACAGTATACACTACCCAAAGTTCAAACATTAGAAAATTCATTGCAACCTTTGAGCATTAAAAAAGTATACAAACGTAAAACGTAAACAATATCATGTATGATATGACCAGCCATTAGTTTAAAGATTATTATAAAGTACACTGACAGAGATTAGCTTGAAAGATTAAACACTGGAACACTCTGAGCAGATTCATGGGAAATACATTCTTTCTGTAAGTAAAAGTTTAAAGAAAATCGTTATCGAGGGGATAATGAATACGATTACCGGTATGCCTAAGAGAACATGTGTTGCGGTGGTGATCACATAAGTTTTATACTCACTTTGTGAAACATTTTTCACGACGTAGGAGGACAAATGCTGTAAGAGATGTGAAAATAAAGGTTAGCATTTATAGTTAATGGATCAGACTGGTCTTTTAACATCGATCACCTTTGTTGCAGATGTTGAACGAGTCAGGGAACGCAAACAACGTGCTGCAGCCGCCATTTTGAATTTACCGCTGATCATGGTACATCGCTTTTTCGGTTGCATTATTAAGCGTGTGTAGGTTGATGGGAAGGTAGCAAAATGGCGGCGTTATCTGCACGTTGTATTAGATCAATTGCTCGTGTTTCGGTGCAAATATCGGTAAGAAATTCAGATAGTCTGATTTAAAGCAATCAAATAATACACTGGCTGATCTGATTCTTATTTTTTCACAGAAAACAGCTTTGAATGCGAACAGCGCGACACAAGGTGACTAGTGCTACGATATTTTTGCTTCCATGGTTGTCAGTTGATGTTATCAACGACTAATTATGTAACAGATCAAAATGATGAGCTTAAATATATAATTCGAACCGTTTCTCTTATTTTTAGCAAGAAGTTTGTCCTCTGCAGTGGGAAAGTCCATTCTTCAAGACTGTGGATTGTAAGTATTTATTGGTGATGTTGTCACGTGTAGCTAGGTACTGTTCTTTTGCGATTAACCGTTTAATAAGATTGTTGGATTGATCTGCTTTCTCAAGAAAAACTCGTTTTTGGTTGATGTAGGTGATCAACCTTTCAATGGGTGGGAAACCAGTTTGAATCAGTTGTAAAACATGGGAAGTAGAACCCCCGCAGTAAACAAAAAAATGCATGGTAACTAATGCTCAGTAACTTAGGCTCTTTCTACATACCCGATACTGAAAGTGGTTGAATGCAATCCCCTTCCTTTGACAACTATGTATTTCCTTACTTGAGCTATGAAGAACCCATGCATCATGTAACCCCTTCATCTTCCAGAAAATTTGCCCTAAACAGAGCAATTTATTTCTCTTTTGGTGGAAATTTAAATTTTACTGTTAGTCAAGATCAGTGCAACATTTTCCTGACTGCTTGAAGAGACAATGCAATCAGAGAAATTAATTTTGCACTGTGGTTTGCCCTCTGATGATATATTTAAGTTTTTACATACACTTGGGGGGTTTGTGTGGGAAAGTTCATGAAAGTAGTTATCCACCACTGTATTTAGCCATATTTATTAGCACAGATTCCTTAACTCCTTTTGAACATAGCTACAAGACACTTGCTTGTTCATTTTTAATGTGAATGGTTAAAAGAAAAAAATTCTTGAAGATTTAACAAAAGCAGAAAATATGAAGTAGTCTGGGTAAATTTTAGAGTCATTTGTACTTCAAAAGACCTAAAATTTTTTTGCATATGATTTCTTTCACTGACAGGCTCAAGACGATAGCAAGGGATAATGTAGTTAGAAATCTTGCCAGGAGACACACAAGATTATCAGCAGCAGTTAGTGAGTATATTTTTGCATGTCTTAAATTACTTTAAGATTCAGGAAACCATGAACACTGAAAATTCATTATATTTGGCCAATTGTGCTCTGACCATTCACAGTTAAGTGTCGGGCACATGAGTAAACCTCAAACCACAAATTCCTTACAGCTGCTGTTTATGGTTTAGTTTTCTGACACCTGACTGGCTTTTTCCACAAAACGGCATAACCTTTAGTAACTATTTCTTGTGTTCACAGTTTTCTAAGTTTCACAAAAAATTAAAGCCAGTAAGAAAAAAAAGTCACACAGAGTTACATAATATGCATGGGTTTTAATCTGGACTTAGTGACTGACTTTATTTAAGGCTTGCTTAAAATTGAAAATAAATGACAACTTAATCAAAATTGTGTATTATGTAACTTGATCTAAGGCAAGCTTAAAATTGAAAGTTACAACTACTTTATCAAAATTTATATTCAGGGGCAATCTTGAGAATTATGAAAGAGATGGTATAAAAATTGTGGTGAGATCACAAATTCACTTGAGAGACTCTTTGTTAATCCTTTCTC